AGAGACAGAGACAAAAACAGAGAAAGAAAGAGAGAAGGAGGGAGGAGGGGGAGAATTAATGTCCTGATGAGCCGGTCAAGCCCATAGGTCAAAATCTGAAACTGACCCGTTAAGCACCGTCCGACCCTGCCTGAAGTGGACACGATATCATGAGAATTGTCTCCTTTAGAAGACCATCCCTGCTCTAGCAAAACTCCCGCGGAGACAACAAACAAATCACTATCCTAGAGTTACAAACTTCTATCTGCTCAGTACCTAGTTTGAAGAAATTTGACTTTAAAAAATTTGAATTTTACGATAATGTGTCAAGCTTTTTCGAATGCAAACTTTGAATACCTAATAGAGAGATATATGTTTATATATATGAGATGAGGCAAACCAACACATTATGTCAACCTGTAAGTAATAATATTTTTAAAATACAAAACCAGAGTTTATTCAATCAAAATGTACACATGTCAACCTTTCTGTTTCAACTTTTTAAAGAAAAAACGGACACATACGGTCGAGAGATAAAGACTCCCAATAGTCATACGATTTTGAAAGAGCAGATAGAACATTAATTCCTTTCTGGCCTCATAATATGGTCTTGGTAACTAAAAAAAAGTGTGAAAGGACCCTGGATCAAGGCGACGTACCAGTGTAACATTCGCCGCTTGTTTCAACATCAATCGAATAGTGTGTTCGTGGAAGCATCATAAAGCATTAGAATCAATTCAAACGAGAATCGAACTCGTGTCTTTAGCGGGTATGACGAAAAATCTAACCATTACACCAGTGAGCTGGTACAAAAATATAGAACTACATTTAGTTTGGTCGGGAAAGAGAAATATTGTTTTAGCTTTATTTAAGTCACCTAGCGTAAATTAGTAACATGAACTTATTCTGAACCGATGTTAGTATTACTAGTGACCTTGAACTTTGAAGGAGTCAAAATAAAAGGTATTCTTCAAGCACTGGAGTAGCAGAGCCGAAGATAAAAACAATGCTACATCTATTATTCAGCTTTAATTCCGTTACAGAATTGATTAAAAGCATACTTTGTACATGTCTACGAGCGCATTTGTTACATTCTTCATAAAACTTTTAGGTGAGTGTGTGGCGGGTGTTCTGGTGTGGTTTCTTCCCCTTCTTCCCTATTACAAAGTGCACACTATTGTTTTATCTCGCCTTCTCCTTGTGTCTGTGTTTTACTCTCTCGTAGCAACACCTGTAATCGTCGACGTTCATGTGACCCAATTGTGTTACAAGCTCTCTGGTTACAAGCAAGATAGGGCGGCTCGTGGGTCTAAAAGGTGGGCGTGCACAATTAACTTAAACAGATTGAAGATAGTCAAGGGCATGGTGAATGAGATGCACTTGCCAAGTACTGTGAAAACTTTTGCTGCAAGTGAAACTAAACTAAGCTTCCAATACTATAGTATGTTGTGTTGTGCAGAAAGAACACACATAGTATAGAGACAGTTAACATACACATTGTTGGGCTTGAAATGGATAATATCCATTTATTCATTTATAGGATGACCAGGGACTATAAAGAGACGGGGGGG